AGTCCTATAATCCATTTTTAAAAGTCATCAGAAGGAAATGTCCAACATTTCAAGTATCAGATGCTGAAATCTATCTATTCTAAACTGAGAGTTCAGAATAAAGCATCATAACTTATTAATAATGTGTTCAGATTCATGGGGTTCCCAGATTCAGCATTCCTCCTCTGTCAAAGCTGACATTAATAGACTCCTCTGAAACACTCAATCTTGACTTCTCAACACTACAATGGAAAGTGACCTAAGCTTGGCATCACTGTTTATTCCATGGGCCAGGATCTGTATCTTGGTAACCTGCTTAGCACCCCAGTTACACTAGAATTTCCACTAGGTCTATAATTTATCCATTCACTATATTTCCCTCTTCCCCTTCCTAAGTTCTAGAGCTCTTTGGCTGGAAGTTGCTATCTGTTCACCAATATTTTGTAATGCCAAATTGTCTACCTGCTTATATTTCTGAATATTACAAGTTCCTACATTCTCTACTGCCTTGCTAGTCCCAGTTTTTAGTCAATCTCTCTTCATCTTTCACTGATTTAAGATCTGAGGCACACTGCTTGCCTTGTTTACCACATACTGTCTGCTAACATACCTTTGGACAGAAGGAACATTCTGCCTGCTTCTTTCTAATACTGTTTCTGGGTCCCTTAGCACCTCTTCACATAAACAAGTTCTGTGATTCTAAGCTCAGCCCCTCACACTTTCTTCCTGGTCTGATTCCTAAAACCAGACCATACCGAGCCAGGTTCTAAGACTACCTCTGAATCTATACCTTAAACAAAAGTATTTAACAACAATTCACTCCATAATTCTTTACTGTACAATATACATTCAGAAACAAATATAAAAATGCTTACAAGAAAAAGAATCTTATATACTGTGAGAGTTGGGAAAAAAATTTTTCAGGTGTAGATAACTTCCTGATTTTCATCCACTAGTGATCTACATATAGCTCTATGTCTTGAAAGATTAATGTCTTGAAAGAGTAAAAGAACAGTATCCACAGGGTTCACATGAAGAAAACTCTCAGAATAGTGAGATTAAGCCAACAGTGAATTAAGAATGACTAGTGTATTCTTTATCTGGAAATTGAGGAGAAACGAGTAACAATCTTTAATCTTAGGAATTCAGAAAAACTAAAAAAATCTTTCTCTGATTTTAAATAGTCAAGTGAAAAAATACAAAATTATAATACCTAAAAGGTACACTTAATAGAACTTTCTTTCAATTCCCTCCAGATTTTGTAATTTTCTCCAAGGTCTTGAATGGTTACTAGTTTAAAGAAAGCTTCCTGATTCATAAACTTCTATCCTAAACTATATTATTAGACCAGATTCACATACTTGAGTTACGAGTTACAAGTAACGAATCGTCTGGAAATTTCAAAAACACAAACCACATTTTTCAAAGCCTCACCTCCACATCTCAGCCTACTGACACTCATTTTGAATGTTCCCTTATTTTGGGAAACCCACAACGGTCTCATTAGTTAAATACTATCTGTACCTATGTATCTAAAGAAGCAAAGAGCCTCTTAACAAAAGCCAAGTGTAAAATGATTCTTTTTGAATTTTTTTAAACGTAGGATTTTTTTTAAAAAGTGAGGCCAATTGAGTTCCGTAAAGTAGTCTTTAAAAATATTTTTACTTTGATAAAGTACAGATCTTTTAACTCAACTTTGTTTCATCTGCTACATTTTTTAAAAATTATATAAAAACCAGGTTTAAAGCATGAAACTAAAACTGCCAACATGTTTCACCTTTTTTTTCTATTCATGATAGCCATATAGCCTTTTGGATTTGTCTATTGGTTCATAGGTAATAAAAAAGCATCAAAGTATATCTGAATTATAATGCTAAGTGTGCTTTCTAGATCAACTTACAAGTTCCTGTGAGGTAGTTACTGTATGGCAATAAGAATACATAATATTTGCAAAAGTATACACCCAAAATAGGTCAAATCACAGATTTACTGATAACCAATTCCCTAAGCTTAAGCTCCAGCATTCATATCTCAAATCATTTACTTAAAAAGATCAGATGGTAAAAATGCTGAAAACAAGACAAATATACAAAAATCATCCAGTGACAGCCATTTTTAAAAAATGGAAAAAAAAAAACTCATTTACAATTATATTTCTTTTATATCTTATATATTTGTATATCTATCCTATATAAATAGAATTTAAATTTATATGTAATATAGACATTTAACATATATTTGACCTAACAAGAAATGTGCAAAACCTATGTGAATAAAAAAATATGAAGTTACTAAGGAATGTAAAAGATCTAAATAAGTAAACATATACACTATATTCTTGTATGGGAGGTCTCATTATTATAAATATGTCAATTTTTTCCAAATTAACCTATACATTTAAGGCATCTCTAATCAAAATAACAATAGAAATTTTGGGGTAACTTGACAAATGTATTTAACCTTTTTTTCATTTGGAAGGAGAAATGCAGAAGATTAGCTTAAAAAGCAAAATGTTGCAAAACAAGACTAATGAAGAGGTACTTGCCTTTCTAGATATCAAAACATATTATAAAGCTACAGTAATTAAAATAACTCTATACTGAAGGAATAGGTAATTAGACGGATGACACCACAAAAGATAAGATCAATGATTATTATATAAAATTAAATTTCCACATGGTAAAATACTCTAAGTCAAAGGACAAATGATAATCTGCTAAAGTGTTAAAACACAAGATAAAAGGTTAATACCCTTAAAATATAAAAAATTCTTACCAATCAGTTTTTTTAAAAGTAAGACAAACAACTCTAACATTAAAACAAAAGATATGAACATAAAACTGGATGTCTGTTAAACATATGAAAAGATACTCATCCTCTCTAAGGGAAGTATTTTTGAGTAATGAAATTTTTTCTTCTATGAGACTGGCAAAGATGAAAAAGAATGTAAAATGCACTATTAACAAGAGTGTGAAGAAATGAACACTTTCATAACAACAGTGGAAGTATAAATTGTTGCAGCTTTTTTAGAAGGTAATTTGGCAGTATCTACTGAAATATTAAATCTATGTATTCCTTGAGTCTCATAATTTTACATGTTGGAATCCATTCTACAGAAAAACATGCAAAAGTCTGTAAAGGTGTGTGTATATAATAATGTTCGCATACCACCATATGTAGCACCAAAAAATTGAAAACAACCTAAATGACTCAAAAAGTAAATGGTTAAGATAAATAATGGCACATACATACTATGGAATACAACATAATGAATAAAGTGGCTGTATGTGTACTAACTTGAAAAAATACCTAATAACATATTGTACTAAGTGTACTGTTACGTTAAAAAAAAAAAGAGGGCCGGCCCGGTGGCGCACTGCTATAGTGCGGCGCTCCTGCCGAGGGTTCGGATCCCACATACAGATCCGTTCCCGCTCACTGGCTGAGCGAGGCGCGGGAGCATCACCGAGGGTTGCGATTCCGTTGCCGGTCCGGTACGGGGGTGACACTGAGGGTTGCGATCCGTTGCCAGACACAGAAAAAGACAAAAAGACAAAAAAAAAAAAAAAAAAAAA